GAAGAAGAAGAAGAAGAAGAAGAAGAAGAAGAAGAAGAAGAAGAAGATCAGTTCAAAGGCCCAGAAAATGTTTTCAACAAAACTGTAGAAGAAAATTTTTCTAACCTAAAGGAGAAGATGCCTATACAGGTACAATAAGCATAAAGAACACCAAATAGATTGGACCAGAAAAGGAAGTCCCCTTGGCACATAATAATCAAAACACTAAACATAAAGAACAAAGAACAAATATTAAAAGCTGAAAGTGAAAAGACCAAATCATATGTAAAGACAGACCTATCACAATTACACCTGACTTCTCAATGGACACTTTAACAATCAGAGGGTCTGGACAGATGTGCTGCAGACTCTGAGAAACCACAGATGCCAGCCCAGACTATCATACCCAGGAAAACTTTCAATAACCATATATGGAGAAAATAAAATATTTCACTAAAACAACAAATTTAGGTAATATATATCTATAAATGTAGCCCTACAGAAGGGGCTAAAAGGGAAATTCCAATTTAAGGAGGTAAACTACTCCAGTGAAAACACAGGAAATACATAGTTTCACACCAGCAAAATCGAGGAAGAGAATCACACACACACCACCACCACCACTACCAATAACAACAGCAACAACAACATAACAAGAATCAACAACCCTTGGTCACTGATCTCTCTCATATCAATGGTCTCAATTCACCAATAAAAAAACAATACCCCTAAAGGCATTGCAGGTGTGGCTGCTGTGTCACATGTTCATCAGTAGGTGACAGAAAGGAGAGGCTACATCTATGCTTAGTGTTCTGATCTAGGAACATCTGAATATTAATAACCTAATATTCCCTGAAAAGTGGGAGCCTGAGATGACCACTAGCCTGGCACCATGCAGGCCCTGACAGGCTGCCAGGATGAGAAGAAAACCAGAAACTAGAAAAACCTCACCTGAGACCATGGGCCCTGGGCAAGGAGCAAACTGGAGATGAATATCAGATAGCCACCATGGGTCCCAGACAGGGATGCAGTCTGAAATGACCACCAGTACAGTGCCATGCAGGCCATGGGTAGGGGGTATCAGACCATGCAGAGGTGACTCCCATCCAGTGCCATAATGCATGAGCAGGGCATAGCACTCATGAGACCACTCCAGAGATGACCTAAGACACTCAGCATACCTGGATACAACTAAGAGGAGTAAGTGGTAGAGAAATGGAAGAGAAAGAGAAGCAGAAGGATGTGGACACAATGAAGAGGGGCAGAGCTGGAGACTCAAGGATAGTGAAGAACAGCCTGACATAAGTAGCCAGTGATGCCACCTGGGACCATGGTGGGGTCCTGCCCTGTGCTGTCACCAGAGGTCATACATGGGTCTGTGTCCCTGCAATAGCAGGGATTTGTTACCACCGAAGTCCAGGCAGACATCCTGGATGTGGATTGTCACCCGGGAACATATTAATACCTGACAGCTATGCAGAGCTGGCCCCATCTCTCACTCGGACATCATGGGAGATCTGGTCCTGGAGGCGTGAGAGCAGGTGACCTGCCCCTTCCCCTAGCCAGGTGCAGTACTCAGGAGAGCCACTCACTATTTGCTGAAGCTGGAGACCTGTCCCTGGGGTGGAGGTTATAAGAGCAGGAAAGTTGACCCTGCCCCTCACCAGTTGTAGCACTCAGGAGAATAATAATTTTTTAAAAAGACAGACTCACAGAAAGACTCGCATGTTTTTTGCTGCATCCAAGAAACACACCTCAACGTCAAGAACAGACATTATCTTAGGGTAAAGGGTTAAAAAAAGACATTCCAAGCAAATGGGCCTAAAATCAAGCTCTTGTAGCCATTATAATATCTAGTAAAATAGACTTTAAACCAAAACGAAACAAAGAGATGGGGAAGAACACTATATATTCATGAAAGAAAAAGTCCACCAAGTGACATTTCAATTCTGAACATCTATGCCCCAAACTCGGGACACCCACATGTATAAAAGAAACACTGCTACAGCTTAAATTATGTATCAACCCTTACTTGCTGACAGTGGAAGACTTCAACAGCCCATTCTCATCAGCGGGCAGGACAATGAGACAAAAGTAAACAGGAACTAAAGACTCGAGCTAACAAATGCCATAAACCAAATAGATGTAACAGATATTCATGGAACATTTTTCCCAAACACAAAAAGAAAAGGAATATACCTTCTGCTCTGCCCCAACTGACCACACACTCAAAGTGAGTCACAGCAGATATGCGGACACTGAAGTCACTCCCTGCATCTTCTCAGACCACTACAGATTAAAGCTTGATTATCAACAACAGACATGACAGAGAGCTTACAAACTCATGGAAACTCAAAGACTCCCTACTGAATGGAAAAATGGGTCACGATGGAAATAAATTTTAAAAAGTAAATACTTTCTAAAACAATGAAAATGAATATTCAGCATATCCAAACTTATGGGACACAGTGAAAGCAGTTCTAAGAGGCAAGTTCATAGCACTAAGTGCCTACATAACAAACTAGAGAGGCCTCATATGGCAAGTTAACAGCACACCTGAAAGTTCTAGAACAAAAAGAGTAACAGCCAAGAGGAGTAGTCAGCAAGAAATAATCAAACTCAGGGCTGAAATCAACAAGATAAGAACAAAGAGAACAAGACAAAGAACTGGTGGAACAAAGAGTTGGTTCTTTGAGAAAATCAACAAGATAAACAAACAAAATCAAAAGGAAAAGGCAGAGATCCAAATTAACAAAATCAGAAAACAGAAGGGGGCATAGGAGCAGACACCAAGGAAACCCAGAGAAGCTAGGGACATACTTTAAAGTCCTGTACTCCACCAAATTGGAAAGTAGAAAAGAAATGGATAATTTTTTTGGTAGGTACCACTTACCAAAAGCAGATAAGCAATTTAAACAGACCTACAACCCCCACTGAAATAGAAGTAGTCATTAAAAGTATCTCAACCAAAAGAAGCCCAGGGCCAGATGGTTTTAGTGCAGAATCTCTGTTACTCAAACCATGTAAAGACCCAAGAAAGAAAGAGAATTACAGACCAATTTCCCCTATGAATATAAATGCAAAAATAACCCAACAAAATACTCACAAACTGAATCCAAGAACACATCGAAATGGTCATCCACCATAATCTAACAGGGATGCAGGGGTGGTTCAATGTAAAAAAGTCAATGAATGTAATCCATCATATGAACAAAGTGAAAGAAAAAAAACATATGATCATCTTATTACAGAAAAGCCTTTGACAAAATCCAACACCACTTCATGATAAAAGTCCAGGAGATGTTAGGAATACAAGGCACATACCTAAACATAATAAAGGCAGTTTACAGCAGGCCTATAGCCAACCTCAAATTAGATAGAGAGAAACTCAAAACAATTCCACTAAAATCAGGGACAAGATTGTCTATTCTCTCCATATCTATTCAATATAGTACTCAGAGTCTTAGCTAGACCAATAAGATCACTGAAGGAGATCAAGGGGAAACATATTGGAAAGGAAGAAGATATTTGCAGAAGATATGATAATATACACTGGTAATCCTAAAAATTCCACTATGGAACTCCTACTGGCAAAGTAACTGGATGCAAAATTAACTCACAAAAATCAGTGGCCCTCCCATCTACAAACGACAGAAGAACTGTGAAAGAAATCAAGGAAACAACACCCTTCACAAGAGCCTCAAAAAATATAAAATATCTTAGAGTAAGTCTAACCAAGCAAGTATAAGATTTGTATGATTAAAAATCAAACAAACAAACAAAAAACCAAAACAAAACAAAACAAAAAAACCTTCCAGTCTTTGAGGAAAGAAATTAAAGAAGCTATCAGAAGATAGAAAGATCTTCCAAGCTCATGCATCTGTAGGATTAACATAGTCAAAATGACCATTTTACCAACAGCAATCTACAGATTAAATGCAATCCCTTTAAGATTCTGGCGAAATTCTTTACAGTGAAAGGGCAGTTCTCAACTTCATATGGAAAACTAAAAAACTGAGGACAGTGAAAACAATCCTGAATAATGCAAGAATTGCTGGAGGCCTCACCGTTGCTGATTTTGATTTCAAGTTGTACTACAGAGCTATAGTAGCAGTATTAAATAATAATAATGATAATAATGGTAATAATGACGATGACAGTAATAATAACAGTGAACCATGAAATTGGCATAAAAGCAGACACACTGCTCAATGGGATCAAGTTGAATCCCCAGACATAAATCTACCTAAAAACACCTGATTTCTATAAAGAAGCCAGAAATACACACTGGAGAAAAAATGGTATCTTCAACAAATGGTGCTGGTCCGACTGGATGCCTGCATGTAGAAGAATGCAAATAGATCCATAGCTATCACCCTGCACAAAACTCAGTCCAAGCAGATCGAAGACCTCAACATAAAACCAAATACTCTGAACCAGATAGAGAGAAAGTGGAGAATATCCTTAAGCACTTTGGCACAGGAGAAGACTTCCTGAACAGAACACCAATGACACAGGCACTAAGATCAACAATGAATGAATATGACCTCATGAAACTGAAAAGCTTCTGTAAGGCAGACACCATGATTCAAACAAAATGGCATTCTATAGAATGGTAAATAATTTTTACCAAATCTATATCCAATAGAGACTAATATCCAAAATATATAAAAACTCAAGAAACTAGATATGAAAAAAACCAATAGTCCAATTCGAAATGGAGTACAGATCTAAACAGAATTTTCAATAGAGGAAACTCAAATGCCTGAGAAACACTTAAATATTCAAAATCATTAGCTGTTAGAGAAATGTAAATCAAAATTACTTTGAGAGTCCATTCTATACTTGACAGAATGACTAAGATCAATAACACAAGTGACAACTGATGCTGGTGAGGGTAGGGGGTAAGGAAAATACTCTTCTGTGGCTGGTAAAGCTAAAACTTGTACAGCCAGTATTGAAATTAGTGTGGCCTTTCCTCAAGAAGACGGGAATCAATATACCTCAAGATCCGGCTATGCCATTAGGCATATGCCCAAAAGATGCTTCATCCAACCACAAGGACACTTGTTCAATGTCCACTGCTGCTCTACTCATAATAGCCAGAAACACCAGAAACTGGAAACACCCTAGATGTCTCTCAACAGAAGAATGGATAAAGAAACTGTGGTATATTTACATAATGGAGTATTACTCAGCTGTTAAAAATGGCATCATAAAATTGGCAAGCATAAGGACAAAACTAGAAAAACTCATCCTGAGTGAGGTAACCCAGATCCAGAAAGGTAAATATGGCATGTAGTCATTAAATAAATAAATGATGACCAACCTACAGTCCGTAGACTCAGAGAGGTTAGGTTTGGAGAAAGGGACTGGGAGCTGGATTGGGGGCAGGTGGGAACTGGAACAGGAGGATCAGATGGGGAGGGGCAGGGGGAGAGGAGATAGGATTGAAGAGTGGAATGTGAGAAAAGACATCTAGAATTGAGGGGCGTTGGAGGGATGATATGGAAACCTAGTGCAGTGGAATGTCCTAAAATATATGAAAGTAATCCTAATGAGGTCTCCTAATAATGGTAGAAATGGAGTCCCAACTAGCCATTTCTTATCACCAAATGAGGCTCCAGTACCAGGATTTGACTGCATTCAATTGAGTTATTGGCCAGGGGGTCCCGTGGAAATCCCAAACAACCCAGGCTGTTACTAAGACAAAGGGTTACTCCCTGCAAAGTGACAGCAGGGCCATATTGATGAGGACAGCACCACATTGAACTGGGAGAAGTAAAGCTGGTGCCCATGTGGTGCCCATGTGTCTTCACCCCACATTCGAAGTGTCTTTGGTGCCAGAAG